CCCGGCGGCCGGAGGAGGAATGCTCGACCGCCGCTGCAGTCGCGGGGGCGCCCGCGTCCCGGGGCGACGAGGAAGAACCGGACGGCGCCCCGGAGAAGGGCCGCAGCTCGGGGCCCAGCGCCAGGAAAGGCAAGGGGCAGATCGAGAAGAGGAAGCTGCGGGAGAAGCGGCGCTCCACCGGCGTGGTCAATATCCCCGCCGCTGAGGTGAGCCGGACGGGGCGGGGCGGGGATGGTTCGGGGATCGGGGCCGCCTGCGGTGTCTTCCACCAGGGAGCTCCCTCGACCCGGGGCCCGGAGGTCCCTTGCACTCACTTTCAGCCGGGATGGAGTTTTACTTTGAGGAAATGATTCCTGGGAAGTTTCTCCGACCCAGATGAGGACACGTGCTTTTTTTGCGCCCTCGGCACCGGGTTCCTACTTTAGAGTGATAGACAGTTTGTGTCCCCGAGGTTTGCCAGCCTAGGCTTTTCCGTGTGGGGGTGATCAGTTAGGAAAATCGATTCGTGGAGTTGGTGACGTATTCTGCTTTCCCACGTGTCCGTCTCCGGCTATCAGGTTGTTTTATCTCCACTTCCCTAGCAGTGTTTGCAGGAGAGCACCTGTAAAGAAAGCGTAGCCCTAGCAATATCTAAGGCAGCGTTTATCTCGCAGTAAACCCGAGATGAGTGTGTCCAAATAAAAGTCTGCTGTGTAGCCTGCATCACCCCACCCCCTCACCCCCACCCAAGCAGGGATGCTGTAGCAATCTCGGTTTCTGGAGGCTCAGGGATTTCTTGCGGTATTTAATAATTGGGCAAACATTTGTGGGAGGTGTGCTCTTTTGTTTGGGGTTGTTTTTGCTATTTCACAAAAAGGATTTCTTCAGGCAGCAGGGACGGTCTCTTAGGGGACTGTGTAAAGATTTTTGCCAAAGTGTCTTCTCGCACTTCTATCCACCTGGAAGGAAGCTGCCCCAAACCGTTGGGGGGGAAGTGGTTTGACCACTGTGCTTCACCCGAGGAGCCACATCTTGCTCAGTGGCTTTTTAGTTTTTGCTCACCACCCACAACTTCTTTATTCCTGGCCATTAAGTGACTGTTAAAATATTTACTAACTGTGGGCTGGGAGTGTAGCTCAGTGGTAGTGCGTTTGCTTAGAATGTGTTAAGGCCCGGTGTTTGATCGCCAGCACTGCGTTTTAAACAGAACAAAACGCAAAATCACGTTAAAAGCAAGGCACCATGGCTCGAAGGCATCATGGCTCAAAAGCGTCCTCGCATCCTTGTGAGGCTGAGGCAGGAAGATGGAGCATTTGAGACCAGTCAGGGTTATGCGAATGTGAGACGGGCACCACCCCATTGCCCACTAATTTATTAATAATTGTGGTTTAAGTGGTTTGTAGCAAGGAGTATATTAGGATTATAATTTTAAGTACTAATATGATTTCCATAACAAGAAAATCGGAGTATGTCTCTGAAGGGTCTATTTTTGAATTTTTATGGGAATGTTTCAGAGATTTTTATCAACCAGAACAACTGTCCTTTGTGGTTTACTACTTGTACAAGATGTCTGTTATTCATTAAAGTTGCTTTCAAAGGAATTCATAAGAATGGTAATCAAATTTCCAGGTTCCTTTTTTTAATGTAAAAATATGAAGATTAAGGGGAATTGAAGACAAAGCTTTGGAAAGTCTACATTCCTCAGCTTTATTTTTAAAAAGCAACTTATGGTTCAAATAATAGAACTTGTCGTTTTTTACTCCTTTTTCAGGGTTCATCTGACAGGGGTCTTATTTTGGGAACTATGTTGGCAGATGTTACCCTTCATTTTTTTGGTCTGGCGGCTTGGGCTAAAATTATTTTTTTAATTACTTAAAAAAAAAAGAAAAACCCCGGGAAAATAAGTAGGGTGTATCTTGTGGGAGCCTGAGAAACATCCTTTGTTAGTGGGTCCTTCTCTTGAGTGAGGGAACGCAGTGCCGAGAATGTAGATGACTCCCCACTGCAATTGAGTCGAATACTCTGGAATGTTTTTCGTTTGGGTGTTGGCAACTCCTAAATTTAATCTTCCTTAAAAACAAACAACCCAGGGTACCATTTTTTTTTCCCGTCGTCTGTGGAATTTGAACCTTTTTTTTTTTATTGAATAGGGAATTGAGGATTGCTTTCTTTTAGTGGTAACCATGGCTCTGTTTCAAGCTGTAGGACCCAACAAAACAAAGTCATATTTTACCACAGTATCTAATTAGGAGACATACTTCTCCAGTGTCTCCTTCCCTTACTGTTGGAATTTTAGATTTTTTTTTTAAAGAAATATTGTTTAAACAGTTGCAGAATATATATTGCAGAACTTTGAAGCTGAACCATTTTCATATCTCTTAGGCTGTTGCTGTTTTAGAATTGCAAGCTATTTCTTCCAGTTTTGAATAGTGAGAGCCACTCGCCGAAAGGGTTGGTGTGTTGCATCACTTGGCACTCCTGTATTCTATAAACTTTTAGGTATCACCCATTCTGCCAGTAGGGGAACAAAGATGGACTGCTGAATGAGACTTGCATTCATTCACACAGTATTTCCCAAACGAGTTTATTCCAGATTATCCTGGAATGTGCTGAGAGGACCTATTTCAGTGGCTGATAATCTTTGTTCCTTCAAGCAGTACATATTAAAGGCTGTGATGGAGCATGCCTTCCACCCCACTGCAGAGGCGGAGGCAGAGGAAGGCAGACAGATCTGTGTGGTTGAGCCCAGCTAGGAATACATAGTGAAACAGTATCCTCCCATCCCCCCAAAGGCACACATCAAACATCCCTGCCATGTATTCATTCTGGCTTTCAGCAACTCACTGTATTATTCTCGTGTGTTACTTATATTGCTGCAACGGCACCTGATTCCAGCCAAACATCCCAGTAGCAACTAGGAGAGAGTTTAGAGAGGAAATGGGTTAAAAGCTGAAACTTCCCAGTAGGGGATCAGATACCGGGCAGGGACTGTGGGGAGTCGAGTATAAAAGTCCAAATTTCCAGATATCCTTTAATGAGGCAAACTCTGGTTTTCATTCATTAGTTTCTTGTTTTTGTTTTAATTTCCCTGATTTTTGGCGTTCTCTACCTTTCCCCGCGGGTAGTATCTCGCTCTCATCAAATAATTAGGACATGGCGTGCTACCTGCTTCTAGTCTTTGTGTTCTTCAAATGCAACAAATGATCATTGCATGCCCGTGTCCACTGCATTGTCGAAGCGGCGGAGTGGGCAAAACAAGAAGAAAGCTGTGTAGATTTGGAGAGAGCAAGGCGGGGTGCTAGGAAGAAGTGGAAGAACATAGCACCGACTTAGCAGTGTGAGCGCGTGGACACACAGCCTGCTGCTGGTTCCGTGTTGGCATGCTCGATGTTTAAAGGGAAGAGACAAGTGAGCTGGAAGCAAGTGAGGCTGAGACTCTTGGGTTGAGTCTTACTTTCTTTCATACCCATCTATCCATCCGCCTGTTCTCATGCGCGTTTGCACACAAATGCAGTGTGTTTGAAGGGCCAAAGGGTAGCGGTTCTTAACTCTGGCAGCCTGTTGATACCATGTGCAGAACTTAAAATAAATGCCCCCCCCCCCGCCGCCCCGCCGATTCTTGGCCTTTCCTGCCCTCCACTCCCACTCCTCCCATGTGATTTAATGGGTTTGGGATGGAGCCCAGGCATTAATATTTTTATAAACTCCCCATGTAGTTCTCATGTGAGTCAGGGTTAAGGACCACTGGGTCGCAGTCTGAGGATCCAGAAGGGACTAGAACATAGGCGTTGTCCGCAGGTGCTCGCCAGTGCGCTAAGGAAGCTTGGTAAGAACGGAGAGTTAGCTTCATCTCTAAGCAGTGCACCTCTTCAGAGGAGGCGGTGGCACGGAGGACTTCTGAGACGGTTGTGTGTCTGCTCTCTTTCCGAGAGCTACTGCCTGAAGACGGTCGCCACAGCAAGTAGGAGTGTTTCATTGGGCAGCCATGAAAACTTGGTTTATGTTAAAGGCCGAGCTTAAATGGTTCACAACTATATAGACATAAACATGACAGTTACTATATGCTGACTAAAAAAGATGGCACAGAAGCGATGGAGTCTTTTAGTGTTCTTGTGGAGTGTGTATGTGAAAGAAAAACAGATTTTAAAAGAATTAACCTTGCATTGTGTAGTATATTTCCTTAGATTTTTTTCCCTTTATGCTTTATTAAAGTTGTTTTTGATAATTAGGCATTTGAAAGAGAAAGCCGGTAATGGTTTGGAATTGAATCGAACCTGAGACAGATTTGTGGGCTCAGAGATTGCTCTCAGAACCTCTCTAGTTTGCTTCAGGAGATTTTTAAAAAATATTTATTTATTATTTATTTTGTATACAATATTCTATCTGTGTATATGCCTGCAGGCCAGAAGAGGATACCAGACCCCATTACAGATAGTTGTGAGCCGCCATGTGGTTGCTGGGAATTGAACTCAGGACCTTTGGAAGAGCAGGCAATGCTCTTAACCTCTGAGCCATCTCTCCAGCCCTTCAGGAGATTTTTTTTAACACCAGACTGCTAGCAATACTAGCAAAATGAAAAATAGGAAATTAGTTTTTTGTTAGCAATTCAAAAGTGTATAATTTAATACGACCTAAATGATAATTTCCTTCTTCTCAAGATGGTGTTGTTCCCAGTGCATAATTTGAACCCAGGCCTTCCAAGGTGAGGCTGGAGGATCATTTGATATAGAGAGCACTCACTTCCTCGGGAGCACTGGTGAGGCAGCAGTTAGCTCAGCATATTTGCTGAACAGTGCATGGGACATGTTCTTCCTAGTAAACCCTAGAAATCCAGGGAGATTAGGATGTGGTGCTGAGTCTACAGCAAGCCCAGTGTTCTAAGAGACCTGATTGTTTATACTACTCCCCATCCACATGTCAGATGTTCCCCATCTCTGAGTCACTGGGTACTGTCTCTCCTGATTCATCACCCAGAAAGGTAGACAGTCTGGAACACATTGGGAATACCAAAAGGCATTTCTTCATCTACCTGGAGGGCTGGTCTAAAATGTTTTCTACGTTTTAAATTGTTGGTAAATATCAGGACTTGCCTTTTTCTCAGGGTCCTTTTTCCTCCTTTAAGAATGGAGAGCTCCACATCCCATAATACACATCTTTTAAAATGCGTACCCTATGGGGCTAGGGACCTAGTCTACTGTTCACCTTTAGAAGGCTTGTTAGCATACAG